CATCTAATAAGGATAGCAAACACCTTCTATGTTGTGATGGATCCTAAGGTCAGGCGTGGCTACTGTCTAAACTCTCTGAAAAATCATGTGAAGCAGGAGCCCAGAGCGGCGCCGAAGGACTCCTCATCGTGGAACGCGTCGTCGATCATCTCACCATACCTCTCTTTCTCGCCGGACAGGCCTCGTCAGCCCGGTCCCGCCGTGCCATCCTGAGCAGGACGTTGTTCATCCCGAGCTCAAATGAGCGCTGGTGATGCCGGAACGGTGGTGAGGTTGTTGGTGCTCCACGCATGCATGCGTGGCGGATCTCGCCGGATCCGGTCGTCGGGAGGCGTTTGGCCTCGGAGATCCGGCATGGATGCACTCACAACAACGATCTACAGGCAAGGGCGCTTGGCTTGACTACTGGTCGCGAGTGCTCGGTCTGCAACAGAGACCATTTGTTTCGGCGAGGCCAACTGAAACAAGGGATGGGTTGCAAGAACTATACTAGAATAAAGACTGCTTCTGAGTCGTTTGATCCAAATCAAATCCGACGGCTACGGAGAAGGTGGACGCACACACAAACATCCGCCGGTTGAGAGATAGCATTTTCCTAAAAAACAGAGATCTAAATATCTTCAGCTCCTAAATAGCTACTCCCTCCGTTCCTAAATAATATAAATCTTTTCTAGAGATTCCAATATGAACTACACACGGAGCAAAATGATTGAATCTACACTCTAAAGCATGTCTACATACATCTGTATATAGTCCATATTGAAATCTCTAAAATGGACTTATATTTAGAAATGGAGGGAGTATAACCCACTACCTATCTTTCCTAGACATGCAACTAGGCCACATAAGCAAGTCAAGCATGCAAGCCATAAAATATTTTTTCGTTACTCTATTTATTAAGTATTGCCACATCATAAATCCATGCATGTCAGTCATAATTTATTTTTTGCATTCGAGTTCATCCTTCACGTTTTGTTAGACATGATACTCTTTTAGTTGCAACTCCTTGTTTTCTATTTTTATATGCTTCATATGTTTTTTAAACTTACATTTGCTTTTGATTAGTTTTTGTTGTTTTTATAGCAATTATTTATGCATTTTTAGCAAGGTTCCACAACAACGCGCGGTGCATCGGCTAGTTCTATTAACGAGCAGAAATCCAATTTGTCTCTTAGGAGCATGTGCTCCTGCGTGCAAAAATGTTTTTTTAAGTGTAAAATAAATTCAAAAAATAGATGTGTACATAGTCACATCCAAATGCTACCTGGAAAAAATTAGGTGAAAAGCTTAGAACATTTTGGCCTTCACAAAAGGAAAACAAGTTGAACGCCAAACGTTACCTCCAAATGTTACACCAAACTTTGTTTTTTTCATCGACAAAACACTGCTACTTCGTTTCACATGAAAATTGTCAAGCATACTTGCGACACTAACATGAACATCTACAAAAAAATTAGATCTTTTAAAATGTATTTACTATTTGTTTTGAATTTACTGTTCTTTAGAGGGCAAGTGCACCAGGGAGCCAAAACAACCCTCCCATTAAGAGACCCAATATTGCTTGCTTAATAGCTAGTACAACATATCTTCTAACAAAAGGATTAATCATATATCTGCTAAAAATTCCTGGAAATATATGTAGATAAAAATATATTATTATATATTTCCTCCATTCTAAATTAATTGAAGTTCTATTTTTTTCCTAAGTTAAATATTTTAAATTTGACAAGGACCAGAAAGAAATGCAGGGAGTATATATTTGAATTCAGGCTAATTTAATATGCATTCATAGGTGAGATGGGCCTCCATAGCCCACTTATATTAGGGTTTCGTCTGCAAGTAACAGAGATCCGAATGCCTCAAAAACAGATATTTAGATCTCTGTTTTTAAGGCATTCAGATCTTTTTTTTCACCTAAAAAAAGATCCGAATGCCTTAAAAACAGAGATCTAAATATCTTCAATTCCTAAATACCTATAACACACTACATATTATTTCCTAGACATGCAACCAGACCACATAAGCGAGTCATGCATGCAAGTCATATTTTTTTCCATTACTCTATGCATTCAGTATTGCCACATTAGTGTTCATCCTTACATTTGGTTAGGAACGATATTCTATTAACTGCAACTCATTTTTTTCCTATTTTTCTAGGCTTCATATGTTTTTTAAACTTGCATTTGCTTTTCATTAGTTTTAGTTGTTTTATAGCAATTATTTACGTATTTTTTAGCAAGGTTCCGCAACAACGCACGGGGCATCGTCTAGTTCTATTAACAAACAGAAATCCAATTCGACTCTTAGGAGCACATGGTCCTGCGTGTGAAAAATGCTTTTCTAAATGTAAAAAAATCAAATAAATAGACATGTTCATAGTCACATCCAAATGCTAACTGCAAAATTTTAGGTGAAAAGCTTAAAACATTTTAGCCTTCACAAAAAAAAAACAAGTTGAACGCCAAACGTTACCTCCAAATGTTACACCCAACTTTGTTTTTCTCATTGACAAAACACCGCTACTTCGTTTCACATGAAAATTGTCAAACATGCTTGCGACACTAACATGAACATCTACAAAAAGAATCATAATTTTTTAAATTTATTTACTATTTATTTTAAATTTACTGTTCACTAGAACAAATGCACCCAAGAGCCAAAACTGGCCTACGAGACCCAATATTGCTTGCTTAATAGCTAGTACAACATATCTTCTAACAAAAAGCTACATCACAATATCTGCTAAAAATTCCCGGAAAAATATGTAGATAAAAATATATCATTATATACTTTCTCCATTCTAAATTAATTGAAGTTCTATACTTTTCGTAAATTCAATATTTTAATGCTTGACAAGGTCTACAGAAATATAAGTTAAACATCGACGATACCAAATATATGCTCCCTCTGTTTCTTTTTAGTCTGCACATAAAATTTGTCTGAATTCAAATTTCGTAAAGTTTGACTAACTTCATATGAAAAAAACATCAATATTCATAGTACATAATTAATATCATTAGATGCATGATGAAATTAATTTTCATACTATATAATTTAGTATGATAGATGTTGATATTTTTTAATATAAACTTTGGTCAAACTTTGCATAATTTGACTTCAAACAAATTTTATATGCGGAGTAAAAGGTAACAAAGGGTGTATAATATGTAAATATATTTATGACTAGTGTGATGAAACTAGTTTGGTTTTGTAGATGTTGATCTATTTTTCTACGGTCGTCAAAGTTATTGAAGTTGGAAGAATATCGCATGAAAACCAACGTTTGGTGGAAACCATGCAGAAAAGATGTTTTGAAATTTTGAAAAAAAACCCGGGAATAAACCTAGAACTTCAACTAATTTAGAATTTTCAGAAATAAGTACAAATCTTCCCTAACAGAACATTGCACCACTAACAAAAGGTCCATACCTGCATGCACATTCATATTTACCGAACTACTATTGGTATGTACTTAGGCACAAACACAATATAAGTGATTGCAGCAAACAAAGCGACGCACCCCCAACATTTGCACCCCAGCCGCTCAAATGTTGGCACATCTTCCGGATACAGTGCTGCCATCTATCCATTGAGTCAGCTAAAGGACCGTGCCGTGCCGTGCCGGTGAGGAGGTTGGCAGCACGCCCCGCTGCCAGCAATCCCGCACCACGTCACCAAAACCAGGGTGTTCGAGCCACTGAAGCTCGAAATAGAACCTCGCCCGCCTCTTGGCGCGAGCCTCCTCGGAATCTAAAACCAGCGGACAATGATCCGACCCCAGGCGAGTCATTGCCGCAAGTGAGCAAGATGGGAATGTGTGCTCCCACTCTGGAGACACAAAGACCCGATCTAAGACACATTGGGTCGGGTCCGTTTGTTTATTCACCCATGTGTAGCTGGCACCGACCTGGTCTAATTCTAGCAGTTCTGTATCGTTCTTTCTGACCTCAAAAGTGTCCTTTCTGACCCCTAACAGAATTCCTCACTACTTGTATCGTTCTGTATCGTTCGGCCGTGTAACTTGGTTGTGTTGCTTTATATATAAAACGGGGCGAAAGCTTGTTTTAAGATATTGGCTCTATCAATAGAGGATTTGGGATTCAACTAATAACAACTAGTGGATCCAATCACAAGATCTGACGAACTAATTCTTCTACTTGCAGCACATTACTGCTGCAGCGCCAAAGAAAGGTGCTTGTAATGGGGATAGAAGTAAGCTTTGACACTGCTGTTTTACACTTCCAGCCACAATCTTGTAGATATTGTCAATGCATCCAGATTGGGGTAGCCGACTGAAATTCTTCAGTATATATGGTTCCAAGTGGAATGCTAAGGAGTCCGAAGACAAGATCAATGAAACCTTGTCCAGCTTCAGCATATAGCACTGAATCAGCCTTTGCATGAACAAGCCTTACCTTTGGCTTTGAACTAGGGGTCGTCCCCAAGTGCCAGGTTTACCAACATATTTTCAGCGAGCACACACATGTCTGTAGCGTTGGGCAGGATAGCAACATCAAAATAAAGTCCAGTTAAGACTTGCTGGAGCACCTTGGCAAAACTAAGCTGGAGCACCTTCTCCTGGATATAAGCAGAAGTGATTGGTCGGTATCCCATATTTTACAATCAACGGAAACAGAATCCTTGTGGAAGCAGGAGCAACTTGGAGACCATCAGTTACGATAAACTTGGGGACAGTGGGGACAAAAACTCCACACCCCTTACTATCACAAACAACACAAGCAGGACAATTTTTGACAATTCTCCTCGTGAATGTCAGGCACATGTGGTGGTTGACTCGGACACCATATTTACAAAATTTGTGATAATTCTCTTAGACCATGAGAAAAATCGATCCTACTCAATTTTACTACAAAATGAGTGGTACCTTTTTCCAGTATATTGAAAGATTTGTAAAATATAATATAATGCAACAAATATTTATTTATTCCCTTTGTTGAATTCAAATTTAAGGTCATTTGACATTCATACCACCATACCATCTATACTTTGGTATCACTAGATATGTTGGCGCACGAGCCTCTTGTTACATTGATCTTTAAATCGCGAAGTATTTTATTGTTCCAACAAACTGCATAATCAGTCAAGCATCTATCGCAATCTGCAAAACGTACAATGCCTCCATCTTTGTCGCTGGTTTCCAGTTGATCAGTGAGATCATCTTTGAGGAACTTCTTGAACCAGCCAGCAGAGCGCTTGGGGTACCGCTTCAGACCATGGTCGTAGTCCACAAAGTGTAACCCAAACCGCACCGTGTACCCGCTCGTCCACTCGAAGTCATCGAGCAGTGACCACACGAAGTACCCCTTCACGTTTGCCCCATCCCTGCAGCAGTTGATGTCTGATTTAGAGGCTTGTCGACAGATTTTGACTGTAAAATTAAGCTGCTAGTTCTGACCTGATCGCACTCAACAGGGCATCAAGGTGCCTGTGGTGGAAGTCTATCCTAGCGTCGTCCTTGAGGGCTTCCTTGAGTGGTAGGCTCTTATTGTTGGCTTCGTCAATTCCTAAAATACACAGAGAGACAAATAATTGTTCAGATAAGTTATTGGGTCTGTCTAGAAATCAGTCGACTGAGACTTCGCGAAGTCTCAATCAGGTGACGTCATCTATGTTAAATTAGGCCTGTTTTATCTTGTGGGCCGCTGGCTTGTATTTTTCCTCCTGTGGGCTTATGTTCTGGGTCATAAAAGGCATGGTGGGCTTCACCCACGTGGTCACGGTCAACATCTTCCTCCTCAACTACAGCGTACAAACGAATGTCGTTCAACCAAGGCCTGTATAATATGATCGATACACACAAAGACTGCTGTATAATATAGATCGATCAGCTGCTCAATCAATTAACTCTAAATACCGCAATAAAAAAATCAGTTACCCCTAGAAAAAGCTGCTCACTCAATTGCACTGGCTTGGGGGTACAATGTCGCTCATCGTCCATTCCTCCTCTTCGTGTCATCTTTCTTCTCTTTTTATTTTTCCTTTTTATCACTTCATTCAAATAAAATTTTATACTTTAAAAGACAAAAATCAATCTTTAAAATAACAAACAAATAGAAACAAACAAATGAAATTATTAAGTTGATATGCATGAGAGGAAACTTGATCTTCATTTGATTTGAATAGCCAAAATAAATAATAAAATAATAAAAAATTCCGTTTTTCCGAAAAAATAAATGAAGGTCTCCATGAGGAAAAAAACTCGTAAATCTTATTTTGTTGCCACCCCTGTCTCCATAAGAAATGAAGTTATTGTACACATGCAACTATCCCCCGTCTCCCACCGCCCTCTGACAAAAACAAAGTCCAATTGCAAGCATGTTGCAAGACGTTTAGTTCTAGTCGGAGGACGACACTTGCAGTTGAATGCCTAGTGTACATATACAACCCCCGACCCACTTCTCCCACCGCCCTCCGAAAAAACAAAGTCCAGTTGCAGGCATGTTGGAAGACATGCAGTTGCGGTCAGGGGTGACACATGCAGTTGCATGCCTAGTATACACATGCAACTGTCTCCCTCTCTCGTCGTCCTTCGACAAATAAAGTCTAGTTGCATGCGTGTTGGAAGACATGCAATTGCAGTCCGGGCCGATGCTTGCAATTGCATGTGTAGTGTACGCATGCAACGACCCCCACCTCTCGCACCCCCTCTAACAAAGCAAGTTCAGTTGCATTCGTGTTGGGAGACATGCAACTGCAGTCGAGGGTTACACTTGCAGTTGCATGCCTAGTGTACACATGCAACTCTCCCCTCTCCCGTCTCCCTTCGGCAAAACAAAGCCCAATTACACCCGTGTTGGAATACATGCAATTGCAGTCTGTGCTGATGCTTGCAATTGCATGTGTAGTGTACACATGCAAATGCCCTCCCCCGCCTCTCCCACCCCTCCAACAAAACAAAGTTCAGTTGCATTCGTTTTGGGAGATATGCAATTGTAGTCGGGGCGACACTTGTCGTTGCATGCCTAGTATACACACGCAACGCCCCCCCCCCCCTTTCCTGCCGCCCTCCTACAAAACAAAGTCTAGTTGCATCCGCATTGG